ATAATTGGCTCATATAACAATTATTCCTGCATTATTGGCTATTTTTACGGGTGTAATATTTATTATACATGATAGAAAGCACATAATAATTTTCTTCCATTGCTGACTTTCCCTGTTCCTGGAAATTATCCTTAGGAAAACATTCAAACTGAATCTTTGTGGTGGGATTTAAAACTCATGACGATTGCCAAAAACCTAAATAACGCTTTATCAAATGCTGGGATTAATCTTTGTGAGCTCCACACTATGAATAGCCCAGGTCTGAGCATTCATCCTGGACTTTTTTCCCAAAGGGAGAAATGCAATAGGAAGGTGCAGTTCAAGACCAAATACAGAACTTGATTGCTGTGTTTTCTGTTCGGGGCACACTGCTATCATTTCTGGTAAAATGTACTAGTTAAGTGTTACAGTAAACTGATCACATAATACTTTGGAATTTATCATGTAATAGAAAAGGAATTTAAGAGCTGCATACCTAATGTTATTAATAAAATGGGTCTGTGGATAGAGACAGTTAGGGCATACAGTTTACATTACCTGATCCTACATTACATTAAAGAATTGGTAAAATTAGAATTGCAAGGACAAAATAGCCTTTCAATGGGATTTTTCATTGGAAACTTCTGAGTGGGTAGCACAATAGTAGGTGTTTACACCCTGCATCTCTTCTGCCTCTAGGAATGATCCATGAGCTTGGATTCTCCCCCTGGATCCGAAGTCCACACGTATCTGTGCAGAGAGGCTCTGCTGCCACCCTCTGTGGTGTCTGAGATGAATCAACACACTAACTGTAAATAAAATCCCAACCACTCTAAAGATTTAGGGACAAAGACCTCTAGTTGTGAAAGGACTGAGACAATGAAAATCTATTATCATATAATTAAATATGTAAAATAATATCAGTAACTTTAAGGTACTGGCACACAGGGCATTAAAGTGGTGTTGGCACATGAATGACTTCAATGTTGAAGTAGTACCTACTTTTACCAGCTTAACATCTTTGTAGGCTACCTATGAAAAATGATCAAAGAGAATGCACCTCAACTGTGTGATTATCTCTCATCTAGTTCATTGCTACAGAGATTTTTTTTTACCTGAGATTTTTTTTTTAAAAGTACATAGGTAGGGGGGAACAAACATGTAATTGTTTCCAGGTTGTCTATCATCTCTTAATCTGAAATTCAGTAGAGATACATAACTGATTAATAAAGAATGATGTGTTTGGTCAAAATAACATTTAATTCCTCATGAGACAGATACAATACTGAGAGCAAACAGTTTGTGAGAAGGATTTATAGTAATTATTACCGGATAAAAAGATACTTTTCCAGACCACAGTTGTGATTATTCACATCTCTTTTACACCAGAGCAGATATGATACTGTTCTTTTGGTCTCACCTCAGTGAGACCAGCCTGTATTTAAACAAGCAGTTTCCTGCCCTGCACACACAGCTACATTTTTCATTTGCTACCTTAATACTCTTGCCTGTTAAACCATTGATCAGTGTGGCCATTTGGGCACACAGAGGCTGAGCACTTTAGAAGAGCAGCCAACATCAAAGCAAAACTCTGATTTTTTTTTTTTTAATCACAACATTCCCAGAGTTGATGCTGTCCCCAGGAGCAGCAAATCTACCCGTTCTCGAGTGTCTTCAAGAGGGAGCAGCTTTCTGCCTTTTCTCCTCACCATTTCCACTTGCATTTTATTTCTTTTTCTGTAACTCTGTCCATCAGACTAAACAAGCTTCTCAAGTTTATGATGCCCACACCACTGCTCTTTGCTGTGTTCTGAATGGCCATGACGTGGGGCCTTTGCTGGAACTCTGCAATGGGTCATTCATCCAAACTCTTCACAAGGAATAGAATTCAGCTTTAAATCTTCCTTTTTTCAGAAACAGCAGAACTAAAATTAGCCATACAACTTTAACTTGGCTTTCTAATTAAACAGGATCTGAAAATGTTACCACCATGTGATCAAAATATCAGTCTGCCTTCGTGACCTAAAAAATATTCTTTTACATGCAGCAAGAAAAAAAAAATAAAATCACCCTTCACTATCACTGAAGAACTAGAACATTAGACCCTTCTTCACCTATTTGGGAGGGGCGTGGGGAAAAGAAATTTTGTGTATTAAAAAAAAAATCATGTCAATGCATGGTTGGACTTGACATTTCGATTGGACATTCTGAAACACGTGTTCTTTCAGTCACAATAAGGCTCATATACTCACCTGAATGGCACCAATCTGCTAATATTTTTTTCCTAAATGAATGATTTATTCTACACCATTTCTAGTATCTGCATACATACTGCAAACTACTAGAACATATAATTTGGTTTCTTCTAGATTCAGCTTAGTAGGGTTATTACAAGGTACCAAACACTTCACAAGGAAAAAAATAAAAGGCAACTTAGTATCCAGACATCTCTTAGTATGTCACTCGTGGAGTGACAAGAGTTCTCTTTGACAAGAGGTAAATTGTTTTCTCCTAGTTGAAGAAAACAAAAAAAACCAAACATCAATAGTAGCAAAATGTATCTGTCTTAGCTACTAACTGGGCATCCTCCTGATGCACTCCACAATCCTTACCAATCTTCTGAAACACAAGTATAGCAGTTTCTTCAATCATCATTTAATAAATAGCAGAGATCTGTTTCTCTTTATCAGTAAAAAACAAAATAAAAAATAATTAAAATGAAGGTGGGATGTCATTTATAATATCTTGCTTCCCGCGACAGTTGAGATTGTCAAGAGTTTCCAAATTTGGGCTGCAAACCTCAGCATGCAAATATGAGCTGCAAATACAGCAGCTCAGGGAGAGGGAGGAGGTTACAGACATCACACTTTTCCCTTTCCTGTTTACACTTTTATTAAAAATGGAGTTCCAAAAAAAAAAAAAAAGTTTAATTTTCATTCACACAGCTACCTGGTGAATTCAACAGGCATGCTGAAATAATAGGGGATGTGGTCCGGCACATTTGTTCAATAAATGCCATATGGATTTTGGAATTTGGTAATCAGGGATCTGGCACCTCTCTATAATGTATTTGAACACTTTTGTGAAATCGCTATAACCAGGTGCTTTTGTCTCACTGAGGTTGAACTACCTTTAACTATCCAGTTTCCTGTAAGGAGGACAGAACTGGGAATCAAGTAGATATGGTCTATACTGGCCTGTCCCTTGCCTGCCCATCCCATTATTATTTCTTTGCACTCTTAAAGTCACACTTTGTGGCTGTGCCAGTAGATCCAGTAGTTGCACTTAGCAAATAAAAGGTGTAACGACACATTGCTTGGATAGAAGATATCTGTCTTCACCAACTGAATTTTGTAACAGAAGGCTTATCAAAAAGCAAGACTTGAAATACTGCAACAAACTCCCTACAAGCATCTGATTTATTGTATAAAAGTTAAAAGCTGCTAAGAGACTTAATGCAGAGTGAACACTCTGAGTATAATTAGAAAATATCTACCCTGACAAGCAAAAACAAGTCTAAACTCTGATTGAAATTTGTCCCAGAGACTCGGGTACCTGGGAATAGTAAGTTTTAATAGTTGAGACAGATTATCCCTCACTGAGAGAGGGATTGCAAGCAGCTTCTACCCAGCTTTTCCCATTAGATCTCCATGCAGAAGAAGGAGCACTGGTCAGGTTTGGTTTGTTACTATAACATTTGTAAGGTTACTGCAATATTTGATAATCACCCCTCTGGGGAGGAGGGAACGACTCTGACTCGTATCTTTGGGTATATCATTCATCAGGAACCTCTGATAGCAAAAAGTATTCGAACAGACGAAAACCCTTATGCCTGTTAAAAGCGTTAAGAGCAAGCTCCAGTGCAGAGTTTCCACACCAAGTGCCAAAACTACATAACACAGGGAACTGTGGCTAGACAACATAAATTCAAACTTCATGCTTTACACTTCTAGGCAGTTTTAAACACTGACAGATTTCAGATTTTTAGACAGATTCCATATTCTTCTCGATACCACAGAAATACTGACTCAGCCTGGACGTCCTCTGACATACTGGTGTCTTTTAAGACTGACCACAAGTTCTAGAAGGGGCAACAACTCCATTTAAGACAGAGCTAGACAACTTCCACAGCTGTAGCTTTTAGAATATGTTCATCTGCAGATCTCCCTAACTTCATTGTCTCACTGACACGAACACAGCAAGGAATCCAAAGAAAACAGACATTTTTCATAGGAGGTTATTAGCATGTCCTTCTAAATATATAAAGTGTGCTACCCTTAAGTATCTCTTCTTTTATAGAAGAGGTGAAGACTAAGAACTTATGTCTTTAATTATTTCCACACAAGTTCAAATAAGTGTAATTTCTTTTCACAGATAAAGAATGCTCATGCCCTTGTACTAATTGTTTCCATTTCAAAATGAGATCTGTCCCATTCTAGTTCTGTCATACAGAAATATCTGCCATAGTTATATACACCATTTCATATCATAATTCAGATGATTACTCTAATTAGCTTCAATCCAGTTTATATATTTTAATATTTTGTTTCCTTTTTTTAAGCTTGTAAGCAGAAGTGAAGAACCTTCTAACCCTTCCTAAGGGGCTTTTGCAACAAAAGAAAGAGATGTGTCAAATGGATCCTGGAACTGTAAGATTATGAGGTACAGGAATTCTGACAGGTCCTCCACATAAAAGATTAATGAATACCTCTTTCTGCAGTAGTTCCATACATTTTCCTCATCTTCCTTAACTATTCTCTCTTTACACTGTTCACTTTTGGTAATACTACCTTACAGAACTAAATATACATGAATATGTTACCTCTGCACTACAATACTCCTTTTAAATGACTGGGAAAAGACAAGTTTTCTTCACAGAAACTGACACAACATAAATAACAAAGGAGGGGAAATATTATACTACACATATAGTACAACATATAATAATACATATTATACATATATATTGTTATATAACATTTTATACAATGTTTTAGACACATAAATATTATATACACATATAAAATACATATTATATACATATATAATAAAAAAGTCTGTTGTTCACTCACTTTTCTGCTTCACAAAATAATGAATCATTTAACTGACTACAGAAAAGGCAAGAAAACCATACAGAACACCCTACATTTTACTGCCATTTTCTTAGGAAATACTTGCATATTGTTGAATAACACACAACTAATAAAACTCTCTAATTTTAGAACTTTTCAAGAAGCTTTCCAGTTGGCTTCCTCTCACTTTCTTCACTTAGACCCAGGGGCTAAGTCACGTGCAAGAGCTATAAAAGCATGAGAGTGGCCACCAGAGCTGACAGCCCAACGAAGGCAACCACTACTAAATGAACGATGAATCTGAGGGGTTTCACATTTGAAACTCCACCCTCCCTTTGAGCTTTTGGTCAGTCTCCAGCATTCAGAGAAATGACTACCATGACCATACCTGAGCTATAACATTTTCTAAACAGAAAACTACTCCATACTCAAAAGACAAATTATTTTCTTCATTTTATTAGGCAATTAATCAGCAAGTACTGAGAAGGACAGTGTTTCCTGTGGTGACCAGACATGACAGTGCAGTTACAAGAAAGCACCAGGCCTCCCTGAAAGACTTCAGATGCAGTCAGAATCAGTGTGATCAGCAGTCACAGGCTGGTTTTCAACCTAAAGTGAGGTACAGTTGTGTTGCCTTTCATACCAAATAGGGTTAACCAGATTTGCTTGACTTCACAAGTTTTCATGTTGCTTTTGTGTTCATGCATTAGGACCCTACTTCATTCCTCTACTTCCATCAGTAAGTCAGTCCACACACTTAGGCCACGGACTTTGAAGTCTCCATCTCGTGTCTTCAGGAGTTTCAGAGCGGCTTGGGTCTGTTCTCTAAGCAGTGCAGATCCCTGACAGAGGCAGCTGAAGCGCTCCCTCAGCTCCTCCCAGGGCAATTCAGCTTTCTCAGGGCAACTTTTAACCCACCGCCCCTGCAAGGGGTCATAGTGCAAGTGGCTTCCCCAGCCGGTTAAGAGGTCCAAATAAGATCTGCTTAACTGGGAATAGTGACCAGCTAGGGAAGCAAGAAGGGAACCTGGGAGGCAAAGGCAGAAGGCAGAGAATCGCTCCCGGTTCCCCAGCAGCCAGGAAAGCAGCAGCCCGGCAACGCATCCATCTCCTGCTGCACTCGCCCGGTTTCCGTCCGGGCCGCTCCCATCCCGATCCCCGTCTCCGTGCCCGAGCAGGGCCAGCGCCGCCGCCACCACGGCGAAGGCGCGGGGCGGGGGGAGCCGCTCCAGGACCCCGCACAGCCCCCGCGCCCGCCCCGCGGCCCCCGCGCCCTCCTGCGCCTCCTCCTCCCGCAGCCGGCCCAGCAGCAGCTGCGCCTCCGCCCGCACCCGCGGCTCGGTGCCCCCGGGCCGGCGGGGCAGCGCCAGCAGGCGGGCGGCGGCCTTGCGGCGGGCGAGCAGCGCCAGCCCGCGGGGCTCGGGGCCGGTCCCCGCGCCGGGCGGCAGCAGCAGGCGGCGGAGCAGGCGGCGGCAGGCGGCGGGCGGCAGAGCGCGGTTCTCCAGCAGCGCCAGCCCCAGCAGCTCCGGGCAGCGGCCCAGGGCGGAGAAGCCGAGCGGAGGTGAGCACGGCTGAGCCCGGCGCAGCCGCCGCCCGAGGGCCTCCCGGAGCTGGGGCCGCGCACGGAACCGGTCGTGGACGTGCTGGAAGTAGCGGGCCCACTCGAGAGCCCTGTCCAGGGCCGGGGCGTCCCAGTGCCGCACCAGCGCCGAGCGGCACAGAGCGAGCAGCGCGGGCAGCTCCGCCACCCGCCCCAGCACGGCCGCCATGGCACCACCTTGGCGCCCCCGCTTCGAGCGGCGCCCCGCCCCTCCGCGCGGGCCAATGCGAGACGCTCGTGGGCGGTACTTGCAACGCTATTGGCTGAGCGGGACGTCAATCCGGTGCGGAGTATGCTTTTCTTAAAGGAGCCGCACCCCGCTGTCCGCGCCAGTCAGTGATGGGCCCTCAGCCGAGAGCGGGAAATAGAGCGAAATTAAAGACAAAAACCGAGCACGATTAAATGTTGGTTTTTGGGTTTGGTTTTTTTTCAGAGTGGTTTTTTTTTGTGTGTGTCTGTTTATTTTTTTTTTTCTTTTTAAAATTAAAGCCTCGCCCTCTAGGCCCTTCACCATTTCCGTAGCCCTCTTTTGGACGCTTTCTAATAGCTTTATATCTTTATTATATTTCGTCGCCCAAAACCGCACGCGGGGCTCGGGGTGAGAGCAAGGCAGGGCATTCACCTCCCTCGGCCGCACAGTCTGTCTGTGCTAAGAGGTGCAGAACAATAAAGAGATCAACAACTTGCTTCTACTGCTTTCTTTTCCACTAAGGAAAACTGAAGTGTGTGAACAGAGCCACTGAACCCATCGGAGTTCCGTGTCTCACTAGGAACGTGCTCAGGCCTTGTCCCATGTCCACAGATCCTTGCCCTAAAGGTGACTTCAAAGCTGTTGGTGAGCAGCTTCTCTGATTCACATCACCCTTGGAAAATAAAGCAAAAGGCAGATTAGGAAAATTGTAAGTAAGGGTTTAGATACGAGGCTCCCCTCTTCAGACCCCCCTGTGGACTGCCCTAGATGGTTGCTTAGGAAAAATCTTTCTCAAGTGCTCTCACGAAAACAGAGCTCTCATCTGAGTTATTATCATATTTTTCTTATTTCAGTCATCTATTTAAAAAGCCATGGGGCTACAGGCTTGATGGTCGAGATCAGCTGGAGTTTAAGGGCCTAATACAGGCATTGGAGTGAAATTCTATGGCCCTTCTGCTTGAAGGAGCTCACAACAGACCCTCAACGTCTATGATACCTTAAAATAAGGTATCATTCTAAAATGCACGTTTTTCTCCTGAAAAATCTCTTTTAAGATTTCTGTTAGCTATTTCTGGAGTAATAAACATAAAATTTTCTACAGGTGTCTTGAGATTTGTTGCATTGTTAACAATGGAATTGCTTTTGTAGGTAATAAATTCATACTGACCTATCATCTGCTTTGCCTGTACATTCTGAAGTGTATTATAAAATAATATACATTGAAGGGAAGATGGAGCATGCAAACTTGGTAGACACATGCAGTTGAGTGCAAACACTTTGGGATGTTACTTAGTGTTTTACTGTAATGAAAAAGTGACAGAAACTTGAAGTTGTTGGAATATAACTAAATATTATATATAGTATGTAATATGTCATATATAATATTCTTTATATATATAGGCCTCTCAGGTTTTGTACAGCATCTCTTGAATGGGGGTCTTTGGCACAGAGGAAGAAAGCAGTTTCAGTGAATTCCAGACCCTTGGTTTATTTTAGTGAAAGATATTTTTGGAGATACATCTGCTCGATGTCACACAGAAGAGATATTTCGCTTTACTTCGGAAAACTTTTCACAAGAATTCTTTCACATTACTGTTCTTTTTCTTTCTTTGATAAAGAATATGGGTTTATATCCTGTGAATGTCTCTGTGTGCTTCGGTTGAAAGAAATCAAATAATCACATTTACAGCACCAGGAAACTAGCAAAAACAGGTTGTGAAAGTCTAACCAGTCTGGGAAAAACACTGAGTAATATGGTATCTGGAATACTCTTGCATGTGAAAGGCCTGTGTGTTCTAATGGGTCTCTGTAGAGCTGATTGAAAACTGGAATTTCCGTTTTATGAAAAACTCTGAATATTTCAGCATTGGTTTTGTCTCAGGTTAGGGTGAAAAGTCTAAATATCAGCATTTTTCATCGAAGGGGCACAGGTTGACATCTCTGTAATGAAATGGTTCATGCAAAAAGACATTTATGTATTTCTGGGTATCGCAGCTGCATCTGGAGCCTCCAATCATGATGGGGATGCATATAATGAAAAATAGAGCCTAATTTGAAGAAGCTGCAGTGTTTTGCATAAGGACCTATTAGAAAATTAACTCAGGGAACAAACAAAAGAAACAAGGTATCAGTGAGACTGTTATGATCCATGTAATAAATTGTTACACTACAGTAGCCCATAAAACCAATAATTCTTTACTCTCACTCACCATTGAAGGAACTCCTTTTCTACTCTGAATTTTGTGTTATTATTTGAGAACCTGGCCATTCTCAGAATGTATTTTAGGATCTTCCACTGCAAGATGGAATCTATTTATCAGTTGATTGGTCTGCTGGTTGTGGTGCCACGCAGCGATCAAATTAAATTGAATTCCCTTCTTACAGGTGAATTACTTGCACATAACTTTTAAGAGCTGGTACTCTCTTTTCTATGAGCAGTCTTAGTTCTAGCCAAGTAATAGCTGGCACAGGTAGGGTTCTGCCACCATCAGCATGATTACTAAGCATTAAAATTTGTAGTTTGTAGTTACTGTCTATCAACTCGTGATAAGACAATTGCTACCTAATAGTAATGCTGAATTGTATAGGTATTGTTTAAAAGTATCTGTACAGTGCTAAGCTGCCTTTCTACCTGAGGAACCCCTATAGGATAGTTGAGACATACTTAAGTAAGTACTGAGAGACTGAGGAGGTGAGGTAGAGAGTTAATGTTGGGGAAGGGGATAGGAAAAGGAAAGGCTGGGTTGGGATGTCAGGACATCCAGTAAGAGCACAGAGATGGGCTGATAGAATGGTGAGTGGATTTCCAGATAGCACTATGTGGGGAGGTGGGGTGGTGCTTTCCTGCTTAGCTTGATTACTTTTTAAAAAAGAAACTGAAAGTTTAATTCTGGGCCTCCCATAGGTCTTTGGTTGTTTAATATCAGCCCGCTTCCTCTAGTAATGATTCTTGCAGTAGTCTCTCATACCGTTCCAGGGTGTGCTTGGATGTGTATCTCATGTTATGTAAACTATGCAGTCTCTTTATTTTTACCTAACAAGAAATGAAACTTGCAAAGATACCATAAAGAAAATCACACGGAAGAATTATCACTTTAACCAAGACTTTCACAGTCTGAAAAAGCAACCTCTTTGTTTTGTCTCATTTGAAAGCAAAGAAGAAAACAGAAGAGAAAACAGGGTGTATTTTGAATGATAGGCTAGAGCACAGATTTACAATCACAACACACTGGATTGTTTAAGATCTCTGCTGTATGCCTCCTCTAAGTAGCTGTGATAGTATGAACAGGGGTGGCCAGTGTTCCTTGTGTGGTGGGGTTTGCCTGTTTTGTTGTTTTGTTTTGGTTTGTTTTTCCCCAAATAAAATACATTTTGTTCATTTAATCTCCAAAATAAGCATTAAAACAAGAAAAGAGTTTTGAGCCTATTTGTCTGTGGTTGTGTTCAGCCCTAGTAAATGTTCCTCCATTACAGCTTCTGATTGACAAGATACATGGCAAAGAAAGCTGTTGAGGAAGTAACAGCAGTGTCAGATACAGAATCTGGGAAGTCATTTCCACAGTTCCCTGAAAACAAGCCCACTGTTCAGTGAAGCACTGCAAAACAGCTTCACAAGCCTTGCATTTTATATGAATTACTGTGGTGTTTTATCTAAGCTGAGAACTCAAGTAAAAGATTCATATGAAGTTTTATGGAACTAGTGAGTTTCTTCACTCTACTTACGGAGCCAGTAAAATTCACCCTGGCAGGAAATAATCAGTTTTGAAGGAAAATTGGTCAGAGTAGCCAAAAGTCTGGATTTCATTGTTATATTTTCCTTCCTCTCAGAAGTCACATTGGCTGTAACGTGGTTATACTAATTGCACTGAATAGAAATTTAGGACATTGCTTACTCATTATAACTGGCACTATAAAACTCTGAAATGGTCTTCCCTTAGGTAGGGGGTGTTATTGTAAATTACAAAAATTAATACATTGAGAGAGATGTACGATAATCTATATTTCTGGCACTGACATTCACTTTTTAACTGTAACAAGATTTGTTTAGCTGCCTCAAATTGTGTGCTAGGCACAGGTTTGCCACACTCATTATCTAATGGCTTATTCATAGTGAAGACTCTGAATTTGTGAGCCATTCTCGCAGAATTTCTTTCTATTTCTGCAACAAACTCTGTGGAAGACTGAAGTACCTGGCAGACTATGTCAGCCCTTCTGTATCTTCTGCTGAGGTACTCAGATTTATTTTTTTTTTTGGTCAACATAGTCTCATTATCTCAAGAAAGAGCAAAGCTGTGGTGGGCTTTTGGAATGAGAACGGATCAAACTGCACAATAAAGGTGATGAACCTATTAATTTGTACATCAGAGTGAGCCTCAGGCTGTACAAAAGGCATGTCTGTCATCAGGGGGATTTCCCCTGAAACCTCTTTGTAACTCCTGCATATGCTGCTTGTGGTGTAGCAGTGTTTTGGTAGCAATGCCCATTTTGATGCCTTAGACGTGATTTCAGTGACAGGTGTCAACGGCCAAGCAGCAGTTTTGTAATTTTTTATAATGCACAAGAGTGAAAACTGATTGAAAATCAGTGTGTTGAAAGAGTGCTATACATAACACGTCACTGAGAGAACCTAAACCCTGCTCTGATTAAGAATTCCACCTCTGTCTGCCTATACCAAAACTGAATTTTTAGGAAAATTATATAAAAAGACAGACTTTGCTGCCTACCCCCACTTCTAGTTTTAATACTATGAGTCAGGACCATACTAGCAAAGCTACTAAGCTAAGTATCAAAAGTATAATTTGGGTGGCAAATGGAGTCTCCTTTTTCGAACTGTGAATAATTAATTAGAAGTGATGAAGTTAGTTACAGACTTCCAAAGTTCCCTTGCACCGGATGAGCCCTGTAAAATGACCACGTGTGCCTTCCAAAACACAGCTGCAGTTGTTGTGTGTGTATTAGCTACCACTAGTTTTGCCTTAAAAGTTGTTTGAGCTAAAGCATTTTTAGGTTAATTTGCTGTGGGATAAGAGCATGTGCTAAGGTTGCTCAGCTGGTGAATGGTGAAGCCTTATGCTTTGATCACTTGCTTTTGTTTGTGATGCCTTTTAGAGAGGTTTGATTTGCTGCCTGTTGTGGTGGTGGGTTTGATAGATCACAGCAGGTACTGATTAGAGTGTTTGCCTACATGCCTTTTTCTGATCTTTTCCTTTAAGCCAAGAAAACTCTTAGCTGCTTATGTTAAGTATTTTTCTTATAGGATCAGGTGCACATATTCAGCCAGCTTGAACCCAGCTCCCCTTTTTAGGATGCCTGTTAAGAAGTGTCTCAAAGAGCTATCTGTTTTAGTGATCACCTTATCAGGATCATCTGAAAATAATATTCCATAAAACTTGAGTCATAAAGACTGGCTATGGCTACAGGTTTGGAATTTTGATCTATAATACTGTAGTACTTGTATGAAGTGAAGCATACTCAGACTAAGCTTAGTCTAACATCACAGGTTTAGTATCTAATCACTAAGTGTCTGTAAGAGTATTGGAGTAAAAAAAATATGTATGTTTGAGAATAGCAACTAAAAACTCTTTCCTACTTGTAGATTCTGTATATTTTCATGACAGCTAAACTTCTGTCATTCACAAGAGTACAGGGAGATCTTATATACATATTTTTATCTTGGATTTGGTTATATTTTTCACTTGCATTAGAAAAATACAGAAACTTCATTGCAAGACAACTATGCATAGAGCTATTTATATATATGTCTGGGTTCTAATAACATAAATCACTTAGATTATTCACTTTCCTGATATCCTCAGAACATCTCAAAATTGTCAGATATCACTCATTTGTACCTCTGTACAGTGTCTTCATGAACAGTGCACGTCTGTGTATACAGAGCTGCATTAAAACACACATATGCACATGCTGGATAGACATTTCTTCTTTTTTGGAGTGATAAGACTTTTATGTATCTGTTGTTTCCATTTTCATGTCTCCAAAGCTTTTATGTGAATTTTTCCAGCACATTTCTCATTATTCTCTCAACCTTTCCTCTGTTGAATGGCTGGGGCTTCCAGACATATAACCTGAAATGTCCTGGGAGAATTTACATAAAAACAATAAAACCAAGGAAATGGAAACCACAGAATATATACATAAATTTTTTTTTCAGTCTTTGCTAAAAAGCCCATTGGTTAATATTTACAAAGGAATCCGATTTTCCATTTTAACATCCTTTTCACTGTGAAGCAAATGTGGGAGAGTGGGATGGTAAGAATCATTCCTGAAGTGAGTGAGGGCTTATATGTGAATCTCATTAATGGTTAAAAGATTTTACTTTTTTCTGCCCTAGTATATCAGAAAGAACATCCCATGAAAAAAAAAATGACATAGTTGCCTGAATTAAACAAGTGTTAACGCAAAGCTTTGAAGGGATTTTCTTTGCCACTTAAGAAAAGTGTAAGGGTTTTTTTGTTTCTTTGTTTATTTCTCTGAACACATATAAAAGAAGACTGGATTCTGTTATCTATGCTTACAGCATCCTCTGAAAGCAGATCATTAACATTGACACAGCTGCTTCTAGGATCCATAGTACAGTATAGCAAATTTGGGTTTCTATTGAGAGCTGCCTGTTAATAATGTTGTGTACCTGTCTCAAAAATGCCTCTGGCAGGTTTGTCAGGACCTTCCTGATGGTAAATTCATATCACAGAAACCACTGCCATAACTGTTATGTTGGCCTTATATTGATATTTTCTGCAGAAAGGGCAGGTTAAATAAAGACTTAAAGATTTTTTCCCAGCTCCAGAGTTTTTAACTTAATGGTGTCCTTCAAGAAGTTTTTACCATATTTCACAGAAAATAGAGGTACCTCATTAGTAAAAAGGCTCAGAAACCAAAATGCTTTGTTGTGGCAGTTTCTACAGCAGTTAGGTTTGTGTACTTCATGTTAATTCCATATTATTTGGGTTGTCTGACTTCATTCCTCGCCCAGTGCACTGACAGATTGTATAATGGCAAAGACTGGAGCTTTTGCATATATCCAAAACCCATCACAACATAGGTAATACATGTATTGGAATATGGTAGTTCATAGCTCATCCTGAGATGCTGCCATTAGCTTTCCCAATCAGCAGTGTTACGACAGTGACTTGTACTTGCAGAAAAGAATAACAGTGGGTTTTTTTAAAAAAAAAAAAAGGCAGCAGAGGTGAGATTCTAACACAGAGGATATTTGCATAAACATAAAAGCCGGCAGAAGAAAGTCATTGTGCAGTGCATACCTGTAGATGGGATGAAGGTGACAGATGAAGATGAATTCCTAGAATTAAAGAAAATGTCTAAAAGAGTGGCCTTTAGTAAAAGTCTGTCTTTTGGGTTTTTTTTTGTATGAATAAGTAACAGTTACCCAGAATTAAACATGGAAATTGTTCTATTTTCTTTGGTGGTCTTTGCTATCAAACAGTGATTTCATTACGAATGAGGGGTTAGAATTTTCTACTGAATGGAGTTATGAAATAAAGGCACTCGAGCTAAATCAAAATGTTAGTTTAGATAAAATCATTATGTTTTGTTTAATATTTTGGACTTAATTTTTAAATGAACATTTTAAAATGAAAATATTTTAAAGTTTTTAAAAAGGAAACATTAGGTTATATAAAATTTGAAAAGAATTCTAATTCTGTAGTAATGCTGAGGAAGGAGGGTTTCTTTTACCTCAACAAATTTTTACTCTAAGCAGAGAATTTGTCTGGGAGGTTTGACTTCATGTAAGGTTCTTTCCGTGCTTCCACTGAAATATTTTTAGCCTTCTCACAGTAGTTTGAATGGATGATCACTGGTTTGAACTGCTCTTCCCTAACTTGATCTTTTCAAAGGACTTGGGGAAAAAAGAAAGGGTCTTGTCAATCATTGTTCTTTACCAAAATTGAGATACAAGACCTGGTTCAAAGTTACCATTTCTTCTGCCAGTGTGTGAAGACATGGAATTGGAGATGAAAAAAACCCTGCCTGGTAGGATGCAGTGGTTCCTCAGAGAGCAGGCTTAGCATGGATCTACATCCAAACAGAAAATGTTTGTTTCTCCTTTTGCTTACATTACGGTTTTTGTTTATTTTTCTGGATATATAACTGTTTCTAACAGCATTTTGTTCATCCTGGTTTCCAAGTAATTTCTTTTACTGGTTTTGAAATCATTCCTATGTGAAAACTTTGCAATGTATGTACTTAGGCTTCATACCAATCATGCAAGGTTCGAGTTATACACACAGGTCATTGGTTCCAGGTCATTTGTCCTGTGAATAGATGCCTTCGGCCCAGCTCGCTGCTCTCAGCTAATGCATCACTCTCCTGGTAACTTGAATTACCTAGATGGGAAGTACTGACAAAAATATTGGTCAAAAGTAACAGTATCGACGTTATTTCATTTTTAAATTTCTATTTTTACATGTTGTTTTCATTAATGAATTGCAAACAGTGACTTCAAATCTGTTCCAAGCGTCTCTCCAGTTATTATATTAGTGGACATAAACACAAGTTTAATCTGCCAGGTTTGCTCATGGATTTCCTATTAAGTTTTTCTCCAAAGTGATTCAGTATCCCAGTTCATAACAGCTCACTGAACATACCTCATCAATTGCCATGTGCAGCAAAATCAAGGGGAAATGTGCCAAATCCCCGGGGAGAGTTTTGAAAAACTGGGAGTCTCTTTTGCACTTTATTTTATTTTTCAATGTCTTTTCAAAGAAGGCTATTCCAGACTGTCTTTTTCGAAAATGTACATGTTGTGGGCCTGGAATTTTTTGTACTTGCTCAGTAGTGCAAGTTTTTGTGCTTTCACAGTAGTGTAATCTCTTGGCTTTATTAGCATTTCTCCTGATTTGCCTTTTATAGCATCTCATGAAGAAACAGCCACTGAACTCAGGCTATCCATAGGATAGGAAATATCTGCTCTACTTAGGCTACCTATTTATTATTAAGTTAATAACCTGGTTTTTCTTATTGGAGTAATAAAAATTAAAGTTAGCCTAAGAAAGTTATAACTTTATCTATGTCCAGTAAGACTCAGTGTATGTTACAGCGGATGTGTATCACCAGTTATGCCATGGTAGGTCACTGCATATTTTTGTTTACCTTA